TGTTCCTGAAAGCTGCCCTTGACCAGCTAATTGTCAAGACGTAAGTACTAAGCCAGCCTCTTCTGTCTGAAATGGGCAGCTACCTCTAGAGGTACTCCTAGCACAGACACGGCAGGACACTGTACAACGGTCCTGGTTCACTGGAGCAGAGCAGCAAATGATACTACAAGGTAGCTGGGGTGTCTCGTGATTTCACCTCGCAGTCATTATCACAAGTATTCTTCCCTAAGCATTCATCAAGTGAGGTGAAAGACTTTATCACAGTCAGTCTCTCCAATTTCCTTCCGTAAGTCAGAAGACCTCAAAGCGCTTGACAGCAGCAGCACATGTGAGTTTAAATGCAAAGTGAGTTGCAGCTATCATGGGAGTAAACAGCAGGTGCAAGGCGGATTTTTTCCTTTCCTTGGCAAGTCTGAAAGTCTGTGTGCTTGGATCCATACCTGAAGACACTTATTTGCTAAGGAAGAAGCTTGAGAGCTTCTCCTGGTTTTTCTTTAGCTCATAATTTGAAGCTGTGATAGATGGAAGACTGCTGGACTGCTGGCTTGTTTCCCAGCCAGACAACAGAGCAAATGAACATCATCATCAAAAAAGGGACCAAGTCCCCACAAATAAAGTTAAAACACAGAAGATTACTGCAATAGTTTAAAGCTATTGCTTTCTTCAGTAATATTTATACTGAATATATATACATGAAGGGGAGACCTATAGGCATGTCACTTACAGGTACAACTGTGACTAGAAAATTTGTTCTTCGGGCAGTTGTACATTAACGGTGACTGCCAATGCAAGTTGCTCAAAGGAATGCCTTAGAATGGGGTTATCTTGTTCATATTTCAAGCAACTTTATTAATCAAAGTCAAGTTCTACTTCTTGAAAAAGCTGAACAGATCTCAAAGGGTCTGTCTTAAAATTATGGGAAGTTGTCAGATGTACAGTTTGGATAGCGCGGCTGGCTGAATACTAAGATTATTCCATGACAAAAAACAAAGACCAACCCCTCTCCCCCAGTAGCACTTCAACAGCACTTTCGATTAATAAGATGAAACAAATCTGTTTTACAGGTTTCCAAAAGATAACTCAGCTTAAGAAACATACTATTTATTTATATCTTCGAAACAGAAGGGCAACGTAAAGGTTTAACATTTTGGCAAGACTTAGTTTGCAACGAGAACAGCAAGTAACACCTAGAACTCATATTTTTGTGAAATTTGCCACAAAGACCCAAGGAGAAAGCACTGACTTGGCTCCGGGCATCCTAAGGACGTCATTATTTGCGTTGCAGAAAGCCAATGTTTTTTCATCTGTTACAGCAGTTATAGTAGACCTGGACTAGAAATTGAGCTGAAATCTATACACTGGCTGCACAACTAATGCAAAATTATTTCAACACTCTTTGAGAACAACTTGAGTACCAGCCACCAGGAGGATGAAGGTTTAACTTTAAATTTTCTTACCTTTCCCTGTGATATCACCTCTGAGCTCTTCAGAAGAAATCTGCGTATTTCTCATGTTGGTATTACCTTTATTTCTTTCAGGCTCAGGGATATTACATCGGTAACAAGTATTCCATGAAAAGTGAAAACTGAAAAAGCAATATTATACACTCAGGAAAAACAAGGCAGTAAATTTGGACTCTCTTCTAATCTAATAATATGAGCAAATACTGAAAGACTGAGAAGCAGAAAAAAGAAACTGTGATTTACATATTCCTTAAGTAATTTGTATAATCAAAAGATTTAAAAGGTCATTACTGGAACACCTGCCTGTTAACAGATGTAGAAGGATGGAGGCCAAGGAACACAGTTTTTCTAAAGATGTTGATAGATAAACAGTTGGCAGATCTACAGATACCTGCTGTGGCAGCATTAGTCTTTTTGGCTCTGGCTACTGTTGCGGGTAAGGTAAATCTTCTGGAATTTGCGAATCTGTGCACATACTGACTTTTCCTGTCGCAAAGCCTGACAGTTGCTTATTAAGAATTTGATCGCTTTTAAATATCAACATTCCAGCTAAATAATCTTTTATCCAGTAGGGAATTTTCATGCGCTGAGGTCAAGTATGAATTTGATGTAAAGCAGGATGAAGGTAGTTCATTGCACTTGACAGAGCGGATACTAGAAGAAAATCTTAAAATGTCTTGCCACAGAAAGAAAAACAGCACAGTAGATGCCTGTTTAGATAGATAGGGGTACAGCACTGTGCACAAATCTTAATCAAGAACGAGGAGTCTGTCTTAATTTGGCTAAATTTGTTAATTTCCGTTTCAGTGCCACTCAGTAACATGGGAGACTTCAATAAGCCATTTGCATAGACGCGCAGTGAGAATCACTTCACTTAACTGTAGGTAAGTGTTAGACATCCAGGTCTCAGCTGGTCACCCTATGCTACTTTTAGTCTGTGGCTGAATCATTTTCTGGGGATTCCTGTTAGACCTCCTTCTAAAACAGACAAAAATACAGCATTATGAGCTGTGCTGGTTTTGGCTGGGCTAGAGTTAATTTTCTTCACAATAGTTCATATGGGGCTATGTTTTGAATTTGTGCTGAAAACAGTGTTGATAACACAGGGATGTTTT